GTGATCACGAGCCAGATTCTGCGAGGTCCGCACAATCGGCAGTGTGTGAACGACGGCGCGGCAACAGCCCTGGCCATACCCAGCAACGCACGAGGAGACGGAGACGATGCGGACCAGAGGTCGCCCCCCCCGCAATAAAACAACAACAACATACAACATAAAAAAACAACATCCTTTAATACGCAGGGGGGCAATTCGACTGTGGAACCTTTACTCAGAATCCCAGCCACAACTGCGCGCAACCACTGAACTATGACAGAAGGTGCAGAATGTGACGTTTTTTTTGTGTGTGTGTGTGTGTTTGTTTTGTGTTCTCTAGTAGCGTTGCGCTAGAGGGTGCACATACATTGCGGCGGCTCCCGGGGGTCATTATTTGATCCAGCCGATCAGCCGGTCAGCCGATCAGGCACTAACCAGCCGATCAGCCGATCAGCCGATCAGCCGATAAGACTGATCGGCTGATCGGCTAATCGCCTGATCGGCTGATCGGCTGGTTGGCGCCTGATAGGCTGATCGGCTAATCGGCTGATCAGCCGATAGGACTGATCGGCTGATCGGCTGATCGGCTGATCGGCTGATCGGCTGATCGGCTGGCTGGCGCCTGATCGGCTGAGCGGATGATCGGCTGGCTGGCGCCTGATCGGCTGATCGGCTGATCGGCTGGCTGGCGCCTGATCGGCTTGTTAACGATAGAACATCAATGATCGTTGTTTATTAGGGCCCTCTTTGGATGCCTGTTGCAAGCTTTTCGAGGCGTCCTGAGGGCCTCTTGAGCCGTCTTGAAGCGATCTTTGAGCGTCTCGGGGCCATCTTGGACCGTCTCGGAGGCCTCTTGGGGTCCCCATGGCCCGTCTTGGCGCCCCGTGGGGCCCGCCAAATCCATGCGACAAAACGCGACGCTGCGCAGGAGGACAGCGACACAGCCACGAAACATCGTTTCTAAGGGATCGGGGCCCTTTCAAGCCTCAGCATCGAGGGTTCAGGCTCCGGGGAAAACCAAGGGAGGTGAGAGGACACCCCCGCTCCGTGCAGGGGCACGGTGGCGGATCGCCACTACGGCACGGGCTGCTTGCCTGCGTGGGCAGAGCGGGATTCGCTCCTGGCCCAGCGTCTGTAAACTGTCGCGATGTTTGGAGCTTAGCTTGACGACACGACGCATGACGTTTCCCATGACCATCTTAGGCATTTGTTTGCCCCGTTCCTGTGAACAGCCGTCCCCAATCATCCCCCATCCACGTCAATTCGCTGATGCAGTCGGGTTTCCCTCTCCTGCTACTGCCTCCGCTTATTGTCGTCGCCGTCGCCGTCATTGTGATCGCACGCGTTCTTCTGGAATTGGCGGGCCAGCTGGTGAGCACTCTCAGACGACGCGCAGGAAACACTTGAAAATGCATGGGCTTTCACTGTGCGTCACCACCCAACTCCTGACGCTTCGCATATCCCCACCAGCCCATCCAGAACCGATGCCCACGCGAGCTGCGGTGTTGTTGTGACAGGTTCTCGGAAGTCTCTTGGAGCCATGTTGGGGGGTCCTCTCGGAGTCCTCTTGGGGCCCTCTTGTGGCTCTTTTGAAGCCGTCTTGGGGCCCTATTGGGGCTCTTTTGGAGGATCTGGGCGGTCTTGGAGCTGTCTTGGGCCCCTGGTTTCAAGATACGGGTAGTTAAAACATATCCCCCCGTCGGGGCGCTCCTGGGCGCCGCTTGGGTGTTCTTGGGGCCGTCTTGAAGCCTTGTGGGGCCCCTCCTGGAGCTCTCTTGAACCATCTTGGGGACGTCTTGCGGCTTCAAAAAGGCAATCGGAAGCGAACAGGCGAGAGGGTAAACAACATATGTTGTCTTTAGGCTTTTGAAGGATGTTGGCATCTTGGGAGGGTCCTGAGGCCAGAGGGGGTTCCGAGAGAACATGGTGCCGTCTTCGAACTGCTTTGGGGCCTCTTGCAAGTCCGTCGGAGGCTGTCCTGACCCATTTCGGAGTTTCTTGAGCCATGTTGGGGGCCACCTTGGGTAACCCAGGGCCCTCTTGGAGCCATCTTGGACGGAAAAGGACCCTCTGACACCTCGCGGTCCCCCCCTTCGCAGGCCCAGGGGCAGGGGAAGGAGGGATTGTGGAAAGAGAGAAGACAAGAGTTCGTTAAACACCTACGCCCGGAGGGCTGGTGGGATTGTTTTTTCAACATTTTCGTGCGTGGGTGCTCTTGTCTAGCCTTGTTCGGCCCTCCAGCCCGCGCCTGATATGAATGCAAAACGCCCCAAGCATTGAGATCTCAGGGCAAACAGGGCGTGATGCTTGGAAACATATAGGATACTATGGAGCCGTTTGTGTAGGGGTGCCCCCCAGAAACAGTGGAAGGAGGAAGAGGAGGAGGATGAGGAGGAGGAGAAGGACGACGACGACGACAACTCAGGTCGAAACAGTAGCGCTGTAATGGGGAGAGCGTTCACCAGAGTCCGAGAATGAGGACGACTTGGCGGCGGGGCATGGGGCCCGGGATCCGAGCTCGCGCGTGGCGCCGGCAGCCCGCGAGAGGAGGCAGGACGAGGAGGGGGAGGAGGAGGAGGAGGAGGAGGAGGAGGAGGAGGAGGAGGAGGAGGAGGAGGAGGAGGAGGGGAACTAGGAGGAGGAGGAGAACTAGGAGAACTAGGAGGAGATCAGCCGATAAGACTGATCGGCACTGGGGCCTTCGGTGGAGCTCCGTATGGGGCCACGAAGCGCTGTATTGGGTGGGTGAAAATGCCAAATTCGATGTCTCCAGACGCATGCGGACGGTGGCACTGGGGCCTTCGGTGGAGCTCCTCTACGGGGCCACGAACCGTTGTACTGGGTGGGTGAAAATGCCAAATGGGATGTTTCGGGACGCATGCGGACGGTGGCACTGGGGTCGTGGGGCCCTCGTGGGGCTCGATTTGTGGGTCTCGGGGCCCTCTGGGGGCTCATTGGAGGGGTCTGCGATGCCTCTTGGGCCCCGTGGCTCAAACATAGGGGGGTTAATCAATGCGCCCCCCCCTCGGATGCTCAAACATGGCGTCCTGGGGCCTTCTCGGGCCGCTCTTGGAGCGTTTTTGGGCGCTCTTGGGGCCCTCTTGGGCCTCTATTCGGCCTTCTTGGGGCCATTTTGAGGCCTCGAAGCCGCATCAGAAGCGAAACAGCGAGAAGGCACATTAACGTTGATTTTCCTTAGGTTTTGGAGACATTTTGGGCTCTTGGGGGGGTCCTGGGAGGGCTCGGCGGGCACTGCGAATCGTCTTGGGGCCATCTCTAGGCCTCTTGGATGTGCGTCGGAGGCTATCTTGAGCCATCTTGAGGTATCTGGATCCGTCTTGGAAATCCTCTTGGACTCGTGAAGGACTTCTTGGAGCCATCTTGGACCAAAAAGCACCCTCTGGCACATCGGCCACTCCCCCCTTCCAGGCCCTCGGGAGGGGGTAGGGGGAGGGGTCAAGCCACCCTCCTAGATAGCAAGCCGTCTAGCTCACTCCCACCCGCCCTTCCAACACATGAGTAACACCCGAGCCTCAGCATGTTCAGCGGTCATCTTTGGATGGCCAGCTACTGGGGACCAAAACCGACCCCATGTGCGCGACGCTGGGGCGAGGTGCGCCACGCGTACCAGGCGCGCTTCGCGCGCAAGGCATCCCTTGGGCCCGATCGTGCCAGGCACGCCTGGCGCGCCAGATGCGCCACGTGCTCCACGTGCGCCAGATGTGCCGCATACCCCAGCCGGGCCAGGTGTGCCACGTTCGGGGCCCGTGCAGAGTGTGTCAGGTGCGCCTGCGCACGTGACAGCACACATCGGGAAGCATGTCGGCCCATCCTTGCCGAAAACCAATGCCCAACATTGTGCTTGGTGGGCCTGCGCACAGCAGGCCATACGCCACCATCCCCGCCGTCCCTGTCGAAAACCACTTGACAGTGATCGCGGGGTGGCCGCGCATGATCCATTTTTTCGCCTCGAGGTGCATGTTGTATTTATTTTTGGCAGGGATGGTGGCCCTGCGCACAGCAGGCAATGTGCAGACACTCCCGCCGTCCCTGTCAAGAACGATTCTTCAAAGTGCTCGTGGGCCTCACGAGTATGACTCAAGACTTTGCCCCGAAGTGTACTTTGTTGTATTGTTTTGCGATAGGGATGGTGGGGGGGCCCGCATCGGGTTGGTTGCGCATGCTCTGAATTTGGAGGCAGTGTTTGTTGTGCATGGCATTTATACAATGATAGTGGGGGGGGTTGATCATAGGGTCGGCAGCACCTTCTGGCGCCACGGCGCCCGCCTGCAGCACCCTCGATAGCGTGCACTCGCAGGTTCTGTCTGTCTGTCTGTCAGTCTGTCTGTCTGTCTGTCTGTCTGTCTGTCTGTCTGTCTGTCGTTGAAGCACCTACGCCCACAAGGCTGGTGGGATTCATCAGAGGTATTTTTCCAGCCTCCCCCCGGGCGAAGGCATGTGAGGTGAACAGACCTGCCTGCAGCCTATAATTAGGTTAGGGGCGACGAGGAGGATCCCTCATCGTTCGTTCGCTCCTCTCCCCATCCTTCCGATCCTTCTTCTCCTCCCTCCTCTTCCCCCCCTGCCTACCTCCTTTCTCCCTTATCCTTTCTTTCTCCTTCCTCCTTCCTTCCCTCCTCCCTCCTCCCTTCCTCCCCCCTCCCTCCATTGGGTGTGAGCGTGCCCGGCTTCCACTTCAAGCTGGCCATGGCCTCTGCTGCTTGCACGCAGCTCGCATGCGTCCTCCTTGTCCCCGCGCCGACTTATACATGCGGACCCTTCTGTCTCTTCTCGCGCTCTTTTCCTTTCGCGTTCGTGCCTCGATTCACCGCCGGTGCACCCCACCGCTTGTTGACCAGCGCCTGACTGTCTTAGACAATTTGGCGCCGCGGACTCAAAATTGAATGTGCCCGTCGGAACCAAAGGAGGTGCTGTAGGCAGCACCAGGACGCTTCGCAGTGTGTAGTCCCAGGGCAGCCCTTCCCCGCCACTCCCATGCTCGCGCCCGCTCCACAAGTCAGACCGGGGCGCCCCGGCGCGTGCGGGCCGCCGCTGCCGTGGGGGCCGCGGCGCGCGCGCGAGCCGCCGCACGCGGGCGCCACCTCCCCGGCGCGGAGCCACCCAGGGCCGCCTGCGCTCTCTGCAGGCGCGGCGGCGGGAGGGGGAGGGCCGAAGTCGGTGGTTCGAAGGTGGGGTCCTCAGGGATGGGGGCCTAACTCGGCGATTACAGAGGGTATGGTTACGCTGGGGTGTGGTTTGCGGTCGGCTCCGTTGGAGCCTGGGGAGCACGACGCTGTCCTCGTCGGGCCTCTTCGGGGCGCGGCATATAGCTCTGTCGAAGTCCTCGCCCGCCCTCCAGGGTGCCCCTCAGGGTGCCCCCCAGGGTGCTGGTTGCAAATCGCACCCTTTCAAAACCACACTCTTCGGAGTCGCCGACTAAGGATAGGAAGGGATCCAAAAGTTGTATTTACATGGTTTAAGGCACCTCGTCCTTAGGGCCCCATCCCTCAGGACCCCATCTTCAAACCACCGAAGGAAGAGCCGCCGTGAAACGGTGGCGAGGCTGGGGGGGAAGTCAGAAGGAAAAGGCCTTTTTGGAGGGTGGCGCAACTTCTCAGAGGCCGTCGCGCCCTCAGAGATTTTTTCGGTGTTCTCGGGGAAGGCTGAGTGAACTTCTTAAAATGACTGGAGGCCTGCCCCTGGCGAGTTTAACGCTTAATCGCAGCGGTCCGCCGATGCAAATGTCGCAATTCTGCGCGGCAGCCTTATCAGTGGTAGCCGTTTTCGGGTAGCTTATTGTCGCAATCTACCCCCCCCGCCCTCGCCAGCAGCTGCCCCCGCCTCGCTCGCCCCCCCCATCGCCCCCGCCCTGCCCCGTCCATCCGCGCCGCGCCCCCGCCGCCCGTTCCGAAGCGCGCGTGTGCGTGCCTTCTATTTGTTCTATTATATGTATATATATATATATATATGTGTGTTTATATTTCTCTATCTCTTTTGATGTTGTTGTGGCGGTGGTGGTGGTTGCTGCTGCTGCTGTTGCTGTTTTTGTTTTTATCCCGAGACACCCTGGCCAGAGAGACCCTCGAACTCAAGAACGGCGCTCTCGGTGGAGACTGCCTTGCAATTCAATCCAGTTGGCGGAGGCCCAGTCACAACGAGAAGGGCTCCTGCTCGATACTTCCTCACGATTTACTCCGAGAGCCCCTGGCCATTAACACATTACTTTGTGAATTGGCAGAAGTGGCGTGGGGCACTGTGTCCATACATGAATCTTCGAGAATCACAGCTTGCGAAATGTGGACAAACAAACTGGGATCCCATATGTTTGCAGCAGCTGGTCATGACACGGCCTCGCGAGGTATCGCATTCCTGATCCGCCGACGGCACTTGCGTATCATCAAGAACTTCGTGCGGATAAACGAGTACATCCCTTACATCGATGTCGACATTTCCACCTCCAAGGTGCGAGTCGCAACAGCGTGTTTCCCACACTCTGGATACTCCGACGCCCACGTCCAGCAGATGTACGACATTTTGGCTTCGATACACGACGAGGCTGGCCGCCAGAAGCGCATTACAGTCATCGCTGGGGACTTCAATGCGCAGGTCGGCACGCAACCCATCAACGCGGGTAACGAGCTCGACGTTAACACAAATCGGAGGTCAACCGTCGGAATGCATGGGATGGGGAATTGCAGCGCTCGCGGGACATGGCTCAGAACATGGGCAAGCGCACAACGCATGCTTATCACAAATACCTTCTTCTACAGGCATCATCATAATATCTTCACGTGCACTAGCAATCGAGGTAGCCCGACCCAGTCACAGATCGATTACAGACTCGTAGACGGAGCGTACTGCAACCAAGTCATATGTTCATGCGCCACCACCACACCACATGTTGGCTCCGACCACCAAGGTGTATTCATGAATATTGTTCTTAATGCCAGTGCCGGAAGGAAACGGAAAAATAACAAACGTGGGGTCGACCATCGGCCGTCGCGCCCGCCCGCCGGCGACCCTCTCTACCAGCTGTGTTTGCAGCAGAAGCTCACTGACGACGACGGCGCAGCTGGCATCCACGACATGTGCAGCAGTATCGGCGACGCTCGCAGGGACTACGACGCGCGCCGAGGCACAGTTCCACAACGCCAAGGACGCGAATACCATCTCGCTTCATGCGAGACACTGCGACAGCTCATCGAGCAACAATGCAACGCGCCGCACCAAGACACAACCACGCGGACTACGCTCAGCAAGCTTATCTCGAAACAGCTCCGACTCATCCGCAGCGCGCGCGTGCCTGGCTGGAGGCGATCGTCTGCCTGTTCAAGAACTTACACGATCGCCAGTTGAAAACATCAAAACGCAAAGACATGATTGCGTCGAGGACGACCGAAATTGGCAGTGAGGCCACCAACAGGCAGGACATCGCGAACATTTTTGCAGCCTTTCACGAGCAGCTGTGCCGAGACGCAGAGCCCACGCATGACAGAAACGCAAATCGAGCAACGACAACAACATCCGACATGCCACCGTTCACTGCAGACGTATTTTGACGCGCCACCAAACAACTAAATGGCGGCAGATGCAGCGACGTCGCGGGGATCGGCAGAACTACTCGAGGCAGATGGAGCAGTCCTTGAGCGACACTTATTACAGCTCTACAGTGTCATCATCAGGCCAGTCCAACCACCGCCCGAACAGTGGAAAAAGACAATGGTCACGGTCATCTTCAAGTCCGACGACCATTGCCGCAACATTACGAGCCGATTGCTATCGACCTACTGCTGTATAGGCTAATGTCACGCCTCCTCTGCAACCTCTTGGAAGCCGAATTTGATTCGCAGCAGAGCACAGACCAGGCCGGCTTCGCGAAGAGGTTTCAGCACTGAAGACCACCTCTTCACTGCGACAATGCTGCGTGAGAAGTCACGCGCGTGGCAGTTGCCCCTGTGGGCGGCAGCGGTCGACTTCAAGAGGGCCTTCGACTGCGCGGGCCACGAGGCGTTGCGGGCGGCTCTACAACGGCCGCACATGCTGGACTCGTGCATCAACTTCTTGCGTTGTTTGTACCGCGACCAGACAGCCAATGTCAGAACCGACACAAGCAGCATCAGTTTTTGCGTTCAGCGAGGTGCGAAGCAGGGCAACCCGCTCAGCTCCTTCCTCTTCAATGCGCTTCTAGAACATGTGTTCAGGCGGCTTAGACCCAACAGGCGCAGCGTGAATTTTGCCATCAAGCTCGGCTTCGCCAAAGAGACTGGCATCGCGAACCTACGCTTCGCAGATGACAATCTCCTATGCGCCCCGAACCGACGACAACTCGCTGGCTTGCTGCGGGGCCTCAGCAATTCGGCGTCCAACTGCGGACTTTCATTGCGCCCCGATAAGGCCAGGATGCTCGCAAACGCCAGCCAGACGAATGGGGGCACAATCTCACGCGTAATTATGGACGCGGCGCCTATCGACATCTTGCCTTCCGACCAAAGCGCGAAATACTTGGGGAGAACGCCGTCGCTTCACAAATCCCGCGCGATTGAGCTGCGGCGCAGGATCGCGCGTGGGCGGGCTAGGTCCAACCGGGCCCGACCAGAGCTCACGAACAAACGGCTTCCATCGCGCGGCAGATTTGAGGTTCTGCGGCGCGATTGCACCGAGCGTTATGCGTGAATGCTCAGATATGCTTGTCACGTTGCGGCGGGCGCTGCGGAAAATGCTGGGACTAGTCGTCGGCGCGCCGAGGAGAAGACGCGCGGCGGAGCAGCGCGGACAGTCCGCAAGCGCCGACAGAAACACCGCAGATGCCACCACCGACCCGCTAACACCAACGCCAGCCCCGACAGAAGCACCGGGAACGACATCGGGCCACGCAGCCAGAGCGACAGCGACAACGGCGACGGCGACTTGGAATCTTGGGTCAGTTTTATATGTAGAAGTACTACCATCGCCATGGCATTGGCGAGACGCGCAGGGGTCGAAGATAGGGCAGGTACCCATAGTCAGCGCAAGTGGCGATTTGCTGCTCGCGTCGCCAACCGCGACCCCGACAGATGGACGCGACTAGAGTGAGCGGGGGCACAAGCTTGCACGACTCACGACCCGCTTGTTGCCGTTGCGGGAGGCAAGAGAAGTCTCTGTGCGACGACGTCGTTTCCTTACCACACTTGGGGACAGACGCAGACAGCAATGCGCAGTGGTGGGAACTCGCCCAACATCGACAATTGTGGGGCAATCGAGGAGAACAGTTTCTTCTAACATGCACGTTATCTTATCCGCTCTGGCCGCTATTCTTGGCCCTCCGATTCCTGCTCCGCCCAGATATCTTAGAATCCGACTCCGGCGCCTATCTTCCCGACCGCTGCTACGCGCGCAACTGCTGCAACATTCGCTGACGATGCCAAGAGCAATCCTCCCACCTCCGACCCCCAACTTCCGCCTTTCGACTTCGACCTCCAATCTTCCACCTCCAACTGTCGACCCCCGTCGTGGCCGCCAGCCCCGCCTCGTCGACGTCCGGCGCGCATCGCCAGTTGTTGACCTCCAACGTCCCACCTCCAGCCTCGACCTCCACCTATCGACTTCCAGTTTCGCAGTTTCACTTGGCCGACCCGCGGCTCCCGGCTCCCGATTCCCAGCGTGCAGCGGCAGCGAAAGACTTCAAACGTGCGTGTCCAGCTGTCGACCTTCGCCCGTCGATCGACTTCAACCTCGCCGACTTGCATCCAGCTTGCAGCTTCCGACCCCCAGCGAGCACCGCCGAGTGTCGACCTCCGACATTCCGCGTCCAGTTTTCGATTTTCGCCCTTCGACCCCCAGAGCCATTTGCCAGACCTCCAGCCTCAAGCTTCCGACTCTCAGCGCGTGCAACCATCTGTCGTCCTCCAGCCTCCGACCTCCAGCTTTCGACCCTCGCCGCAGGAGCGCTAGCCTCGCCTGGCCGGCCTCCAGCTTCCCGTTCTGACCTCCTGCGCGCGCCGCCAGCCGTTGACCTCCAACGCCCCGCCCCCAGCTTTCGACCGCCTCATATTGGCCGCCAGCTTCGCTGCACCGACCTCCAACTCAATCTCCCGGCCGCGGGAGTGCGCCCAGTCGCTGGCCGCCAGTCTTTCGCGCGCAGCTTGTGACGCCCACCCCGTGCCCGCAAGCCGGCGGCCTCGCCTGACCGACCTCCAGCGTTCACGTGTGCCATTGACCTCCGACCTTCCACCACCTCCAGCTTTCGAGTCCACCTCGCAGTCGGCAGCCTCGCCCGACTGACCTCCAGCCTCCAGCATCCGACCTCCGTCGCGCACCGCGACCCATCGGCCTCCAACATCCGACCTCCGGCTTTCGACGTCCACCTCTCGACTTCCACCCGCGCTGACGACCGACGCTCGCCTCCCCATCTCTTCGACTCCTGAGGGCTCCAGCCCCGCCGCGCGGCCCTCCCAGGGCCAGTCCTGCCGGACCGACATCGCGCGCTCGCCTCGCTTCGCTTCGCACCTGGCCAAGAAGGCCTCCGAACTCAGGAACGGTGCTCTCGCTCGAGACTTTCCCGTAATTCAGGCAAGTTGGTGGAGGCCTGGGCGCGGCGACAAGGGCTCCCGTTCGATATTTCTCCATAGGTATTCCGAGCGCCCTTGGCCAAAGAGGCCCCGAACTCAGGAACTGCGGTCTCGCTCGAGACTTCTCCGCACTTCAGTCAGTGGCCGAAAAGGGAGAGATCCCCCCCCCCGATAGGGGGTACAATCGAAGACGAAGTGGGCGGGCATCGAGGGTTGGGGCATGCGGAATGCAGGACGCGCGTGCCAGTAAAAGCGAAAGGTCATCAAATGATTGTTGCTGTTGTTGTTGCTGTTGCTGTTGCTGCTGCTGCTGCTGCTGATTCTGCATTATATGGTAATGTTTTTTTGTTGTATTACTTCCTTTTTTTTA